GCCAGCAGGAGGTGTTACAATTTCTTACCATGACTACACTCTCATTAGCATAATGAAGACACTGCTAACCTTTAAAAAGCAATGCAAATCAAAGAGCCTATGCACAGAGTGAGGTTTGCCTGTCCAACCTGTCCCAAAAGTTTAGTGGCTCTCTACAATGAAAATTAACTTCTTCTGAAGTGGAGACTTCCTGTGTAGCTTAGAACTTTGGAAAATTATTTATTTATTTGATTTGATTTATTGCATTTTTATAACATTCTTCTCACCTTTGGGGGACCCAGAGTGGAGTACAACACATGAAAATAGCAAAACTTCAATGCTGAACATACATAAAAAGCAAGACATAACATAAGAACTCCCATGACCAACAGAAAATACTGGAAGGGGTTGGTGGGCAGTGTCCTTTGGTTTTGGAGTTGTAGTTCACCTACATCCAGAGATCACTGTGGACTCAAACAATGATAGATCCGGACCAAACTCTACACAAAGACTCAATATGCCCAAATGTGAACACTGGTGGAGTTTGGGGAAAATAGAATCTTGGCATTTGGGAGTTGTAGTTGCTGGGATTTATAGTTCACCTACAATCCACCAGACCTCCCACACAGAACCCCATATGGGCCACAGCAACGCATGGCAGGGGACGGCTAGTGTCAAATAAAAATAACTGTAATAAATACCAAAAAATAAATAGCAGAAAGAAAAGCTAAGAGAAAATAAAGTGTTCATGCAGTTTGTGAGTAGACCGCAAGAAGTTTATATTCCCAGATGGGTCATGCGCCTCAGCCAACCACCAATGGCCGCACAATCTCACAAATGGAGGTTAACAGGTAGTCTTTTGCAACAGACAATTGGATTGGCTTAGGACATTATTTTGACACCGACATTTCCATATTAACCGCTATAAAGCCCGACGCAGTTGCTATGGCAATGTCATGACATCTGTGTCAAAACCTCCTGAAAATTCAGAGCCCGGCCTGTGAATCGAAATCAACGCCAGGCCAGAGGGCAAAGCACACACCTGAGTTGCATCACTGCAAAGGCGGCCCACAATGAGCAACAGGCTTCCGTGGCTTGCATTTTATGCAAAAATCATTCGCCAAACGCACCTAAATGGACACGCTATTATTCCTACATCTAATCTATCTGACAGATGGAAAGCTATTTAACCTCAGCAGACTGAAAGCCAAAACCGAGGTTACAACAACATCTGTTATAGAAATTCAGTATGCTGATGACAACGTTGTCTGTGCACATTCAGAAGATCTACAAGCCACTCTTTGCAGAAGCATACGAGAAGCTCAGCCTCTCATTGAACATCGAGAAAACCAAAGTACTCTTCCAGTTTCCAGTGAACCAAACTTGGCACACAGAACTCCCATGACTGACAGAACATACTGGGCATTGACCTTGAGTTTTGGAGTTGTAGTAAACCTACATCCAGAGAGCAATGAGGACTCAAACAATGATGGATCTGGACCAAACTTGGAATGAATACTCAATATGCCCAAATGTGAACACTGATGGAGTTTGGGGGAAATAGACCTTGACATTTGGGAGTTGTCATTGTTGGAATTTATAGTTCACCTACAATCAAAGAGCATTCTGAACTCCACCAACAATGGAATTGAACCAAACTTGGCACGCAGGACTCCCATGACCAACAAAAAATACTGAAAGGGTTTGGTGGGCATTAACCTAGAGTTTGGGAATTGTAGTTCACCTACATCCAAACAGCACTGTGGACTCAAACAATGATGGATCTGGACCAAACTTAGCATGAATACTCAATATGCCCAAATGTGAACATCAGTGTTTGGGGGAAATAGATCTTGACATTTGGGAGTTGTCATTGTTGGGATTTATAGCTCACCTACAATCAAAAAGCCCCTTGAACCCCACCAATGATAGAATTGGGCCAAACTTCCCACACAGAAATCCCATGACCAATAGAAAATATTGTGTTTCCTGATGGTCTGTGGTGACCCCTCTGACACCCTCTTCATGACCCCCCCCCCCTCCAGGGACCCACCAGTATACTCCATCTTGACGCTGGAGGACGATCATCCTCGGACAATGAGGGATCACCTAAGTTAAGCGAAGTAAGTGACATCTCATTCTAGGAAGGCCAAGTCTCTCACAGTGTGTCCTACGTCAAGTTCAAGCCAGAACAGTATGCTATAGGCTTTGTTTACCTCTTCTGTAATTGAATCTAAAGATGATGTCGCTTCATCATAGAGAATAATGGCAGGATTCTTCAGGATGGCTCGGGCGATGGCGATTCTCTGTTTTTCCCCTCCTACAAAACAAAAAGTGACGCAAATGACGTTATTTTTGCCTCGAATCCCACTCCACATTCACAATTCAGCCGTTTTTTTCTCCCCCCAAGTGAAACCATATTTGCTCCATATTTGGAGTGAGCTGGGTGATCCCTATCTATATAAATAAAAATGTAATGTTCGTTTGTGGGATTAACAGAACTCAAAAACCACTGGACGAATTGACACCAAATTTGGACACAAGACACCTAACAACCCAATGTATGTCCTTCACTCAAAAAAAAATAGATTTTGTCATTTGGGAGTTGTAGTTGCTGGTATTTATAGTTCACTTACAATCAAAGAGAATTCTGAACCCCACCAACGATGGTGTCTATGGCAGAGTTTTCAAAGTTGGCTTTGAGCCCATCATTCAATCTCTTTTCCTGCCCTCCAACATTCCGTTTTCCGTTCTTGAGTTCGAAGTAAACGGTGGTTGGGCATCCAGACAACGTCAGGCCAGAGGAGTTGATGGCGGAGGACCATCGCTTCAATGCTGGTGGTTTTTGCTTCTTCCAGCCCGCTGACGTTTGTCCACTTGTCTTCCCAAGAGATTCTGTTTTCCGTTCTTGAGTTCGGAATGGAGCAACTGCTTTGGGAGACGGTGGTCGGGCATCTGGAGAACGTGGCCAGTCCAACGGAGATGATGGCGGAGGACCATCTGGTGGTTTTTGCTTCTTCCAGCCCGCAGACGTTTGTCCACTTGTCTTCCTAAGAGATTCTGTTTTCCGTTCTTGAGTTCGGAATAGATCAACTGCTTTGGGAGACGATGGTCGGGCATCCGGAGAACGTGGCCAGTCCAGCGGAGTTGATGGCGGAGGACCATCGCTTCAATGCTGGTGGTCTTTGCTTCTTCCAACACGCTGACGTTTGTCCACTTGTCTTCCCAAGAGATTTTGTTTTCCGTTCTTGAGTTCGGAATAGAGCAACTGCTTTGGGAGATGGTGGTCAGGCATCCGGAGAACATGGCCGGTCCAGCGGAGTTGATGGTGGAGGACCATCGCTTCAATGCTGGTGGTTTTTGCTTCTTCCAGCCCGCTGACGTTTGTCCACTTGTCTTCCCAAGAGATTCCGTTTTCCGTTCTTGAGTTCGGAATAGAGCATCTGCTTTGGGAGACGGTAGTCGGGCATCCGGAGAACATGGCCGGTCCAGCGGAGTTGATGGCGGAGGACCATCGCTTCAATGCTGGTGGTCTTTGCTTCTTCCAGCCCGCTGACGTTTGTCCGCTTGTCTTCCCAAGAGGTTTGCAGGATTTTCCAGAGAGAACGTGGCCGGTCCAGCGGTGTTGATGGCAGAGGACCATCGCTTCAGTGCTGGTGGTTTTTGCTTCTTCCAGCACGCTGACGTTTGTCCGCTTGTCTTCCCAAGAGATTCCGTTTTCCATTCTTGAGTTTGGAATAGAGCAACTGCTTTGGGAGACGGTGGTCGGGCATCCGGAGAAAGTGGCCGGTCCAGCGGAGTTGATGGCGGAGGACCATCGCTTCAATGCTGGTGGTCTTTACTTCTTCTTATTAAGGCTACCACAAGGCCGGTTTTTCTTTCCCCCCTTCAGACACAACTGCCACCAATATACACACTGGCTTGCTTTTGGAAAATTTAAAATCCATTCCGGATTTGGGAGGTAATTCTGGTAATTAATGGTTCTATAGGCACCTGCCTTTTGCCATCACATCTCCAAGATCTGACCAGGCTCCTGCTTAATGCCTTCATATTCCTGGCGGCCTGCCCCCGGCAACTTACGGCGCCTTGCTTTCGCAAACCACTTTAGGAGGATCATAATCTCATTTCGCTCTGAGCCTTAAGTGGCTGGGATGAAGCGGAGCAATAAACAGGAACTGAACTCTTCACCCAGTATGTGATTCCTGCTTCCTCTCTCCCTTTATAAACAGCCGAGCCTGAAGTGCATTTGCCACTGCCAGTATTTTGGGGGGAAGAGTACATATGTCTCTATATTACGGAAAAGTTGCCCATGTCCAGCTCTCCATTTATAACACTACTAGCCATCGTCTGCCACGCGTTGCTGTGGCCCACTCTGGTGGTCATGGGGGTTCTGGCCCAATTCTATCACTGGTGGGGTTCAGAATGCTCTGTGATTGTGGGTGAACTATAAATCCCAGCAACTAGAGCTCCCAAATGTCAAGGTCAATTTCCCCCAAACTCCATCTGTGTTCATATTTGGGCAGAAAATACAGAAAGGATTTGGTGTGCAGTGTCCTTTGGTTTTAGAGTTGTAGTTCACCAACATCCAGAGAGCACTATGGACCCAAACAACGATGGATTTGGACCAAACTCTACACGAATACTCAATATGGTCAAATGTGAACACTGGTGGAGTTTGGGGAAAACAGAATCTTGACATTTGGGAGTTGTAGTTGCTGGGATTTATGGTTCACCTACAATCAAAGAGCGTTCTGAACCCCACCAATGATGGAATTGAACCAAATGTGGCACACAGTTCTCCCATGACCAACAGGAAATATTGGAAGGGTTTGGTGGGCAGTGTCCTTTGGTTTTGGAGTTGTAGTTCACCTACATCCAGAGATCACTGTGGACTCAAACAATGATAGATCTGGACCAAACTAGTCTACACGAATACTCAGTATACCCAAATGTGAACACTGGTGGAGTTTGGGGAAAACAGAATCTTGACATTTGGGAGTTGTCGTTGCTGGGATTTATAGTTCACCTACAATCAAAGAGCATTCTGAACTCCACCAATGATGGAATTGAACCAAACGTGGCATACATGACTTCCATGACCAACAGAAAATACTGGAAGGGTTTGGTGAGCATTGACCTTGAGTTTGGGAGTTGTAGTTCACCTACATCCAGAGAGCACTATGGACCCAAACAACGATGGATCTGGACGAATATTTAATATGCCAAACTTGGCACAAAGTTCTCCCATGACCAACAGAAAATACTGGAAGTTTTTCATGGGCATTGAACTTGAGTTTGGGAGTTGTAGTTCACCTACATCCAGAGATCACTGTGCACTCAAACAACGATGGATCTGGACCAAATTCTACACAAAACTCAATATGCCCAAATGTTAACACAGATGGAGTTTGGGGAAAACAGAATCTTGACATTTGGGAGTTGTAGTTGCTGGGATTTATAGTTCACCTACAATCAAAGAGCATTCTGAACTCCACCAGTGATGGAATTCAACCAAACATGGTATACAGGACTTCCATGACCAACAGAACACACTGGAAGGGTTTGGTGGGCATTGACCTTGAGTTTGGGAGTTGTAGTTCACCTACATCCAGAGAGCACTGTGAACTCAAACAATGATGGATCTGGACCAAACTCTACACAAATACTCACTATGCCCAAATGTGAACACAGATGGAGTTTGGAGGAAATAGACCTTGACCTTTGGGATTTGTAGGTAAAGGTAAAGGTAGTCCCCTGACATTAAGTCCAGTCATGTCTGACTCTGGGGTGTGGTGCTCATCTCCATTTCTAAGCCGAAGAACCAGCGTTGTCTGTAGACACCTCCAAGGTCATGTGGCCGGCATGACTGCATGGAGCGCCGTTACCTTCCCGCCGGAGCGGTACCTATTGATCTACTCACATTTGCATGTTTTCAAACTGCTAGGTTGGCAGAAGCTAGGGCTGACAGCGGAAGCTCACGCCGCTCCCCGGAATCGAACCTGCGACCTTTCGATCAACAAGCTCAGCAGCTCAGTGCTTTAACCCACTGCGCCACTGGGGGCTCCAATAATAATAATAGTGCCATAAAAACACATAAATACATCAACATTTGTAACAGTAACAGTACTAATTAGCATATAACAACATAACACATCCAATTAAATAAAATGAGAGTGAGATGAGTGAGATGGCACCCGTACTGGGAGGAATGGGAGCGTGGAGAGAAGCGACACACTGGATGCCTTACCTGACAGCTTCAGGCCCCGCTCGCCCACCTGCGTGTCGTAGCCGTGGGGCATCCTGAGAATGGCCTCGTGGATGCCGGCCAGCTTGGCCACCGCGTAGACCTCCTCGGCCGAAGCGTTGATGTTGCCATAGGAGAGGTTGTAGAAGATGGTGTTGTGGAAGAGGACGGGGTCCTAGGACACAGGCAAAGCGGGACAAGGCCTCTGAAACGAGGGAAGGGCTGACTGGCAGGCGAGGAGGCAACGCCAACGTTATCTAAACGGAAAGGCTGTAACAAATCGCGAAGAAGCCTCCACTACGTCCCTCCAGGCAAGAGCGCTCTCGGGACATTTTAATGAGGAGGAGATGGAGGCTGCCAGAATAATTCTCCTCCATGTTAGCGTGCACGCAAAGTGGGAGACGAGACAGATTCCATTATTTTTACTATAAATAGGAAGGATTACGTAACTTAATTTGCAGCACAGACTCGTTTACAATCCGAAATGACTACCTTGCCAATATTGACCATTATTATTATTATTATTATTATTATTATTATTATTATTATTATTTTATATTGTTGTGCTGCAGTTTTACATTTTCTGTAGTTTTGTATTTTCTGTTACTTTATTTTCTGATTTTCTGTTGTGTTTTTGTGTTGTATTGTGTTTTCTGTATTGATGGGCGGGGCATCATGTAAGCCACCCCGAGTCCCCTTGGGGGAGATGGAGCGGGGTATAAATAAAGATTATTATTATTATTATTATTATTATTATTATTATTATTATTATTACTATTATTTTATATTGTTGTGCTGCATTTTTACATTGGTTTGTATTTTCTGTTACTTTATTTTCTGATTTTCTGTTGTGTTTTTGTGTTGTACTGTGTTTTCTGTATTGATGAGTGTAGCCTCGTGTAAGCTGCCCCGAGTCGCCCTGGAGTGGGGTATAAATAAAGTATTATTATTATTATTATTATTATTATTATTATTATTATTTTATATTGTTGTGCTGCAGTTTTACATTGGTTTTGTATTTTATGTTACGTTATTCTCTGATTCTCTGTTGTGTTTTTGTGTTGTATTGTGTTTTCTGGATTGATGGGCGGGGCATCATGTAAGCCACCCCGAGTCCCCTTGGGGGAGATAGAGCGGGGTATAAATAAAGATTATTATTATTATTATTATTATTACTATTATTATATATTGTTGTGCTGCATTTTCACATTGGTTTTGTATTTTATGTTACTCTATTTTCTGATTTTCTGTTGTGTTTTTGTGTTGTATTGTGTTTTCTGTATTGATGGGTGTGGCCTCATGAAAGCCACCCTGAGTCCCCTTGGGGGAGATGGAGCAGGGTATAAATAAAGATTATTATTATTATTATTATTATTATTATTATTATTATGTTGTTGATTGTTGAACTTGGACTATTTGTACTATTTTAAATGGTTTTTCATCTAATTTATTGCATACTCACCATGTAATAATAATAATATAAATAATAAATAAAGTGTATTATTATTATTATTATTATTATTATGAAGTTGTTGATTGTTGAACTTGGATTATTTGTACTATTTTAAATGGTTTTTAATCTAATTTATTGCATACTTATCATGTAATACTACTACTAATAATAATATAAATAATAAATAAAGTTTTTATTATTATTATTATGAAGTTGTTGATTGTTGAACTTGGACTATTTGTACTATTTTAAATGGCTTGTAATCTAATTTATTGCATACTTATCATGTAATAATAATAATAATAATATAAATAATAAATAAAGTTCATTATTATTATTATTATGAAGTTGATTGTTGAACTTGGACTATTTGTACTATTTTAAATGGTTTTTAATCTAATTTATTACATACTTATCGTGTAATAATAATAATATAAATAATAAAGTTATTATTATTATTATTATTATTATTATGTTGTTGATTGTTGAACTTGGACTATTTGTACTATTTTAAATGGCTTTTAATCTAATTTATTGCATACTTATCATGTAATAATAATATTATAAATAATAAATAAAGTTTATTATTATTATTATTATGAAGTTAATTGTTGAACTTGAACTATTTGTTCTATTTTAAATGGTTTTTAATCTAATTTATTGCATACTTATTATGTAATAATAATAATAATATAAATGATAAATAAAGTTTATTATTATTATTATTATTATTATTATTATTATTATGAAGTTGTTGATTGTTAAACTTGGACTATTTATACAATTTTAAATGGTTTTTAATCTAATTTATTGCATACTTATCATGTAATAATATAAATAATAATAATATAAATAATAAATAAAGATTATTATTATTATTATTATTATTATTATTATTATGAAGTTGATTGTTGAACTTGGACTATTTATACAATTTTAAATGGTTTTTAATCTAATTTATTGCATACTTATCATGTAATAATATAAATAATAATAATATAAATAATAAATAAAGATTATTATTATTATTATTATTATTATTATTATTATTAAGTTGTTGATTGTTGAACTTGGACTATTTGTACTATTTTAAATGGTTTTTAATCTAATGTATTGCATACTTATCATGTAATAATAATAATATAAATAATAAATAAAGATTATTATTATTATTATGAAGTTGTTGATTGTTGAACTTGGACTATTTGTTCTATTTTAAATGGTTTTTAATCTAATTTATTGCATACTTATCATGTAATAATAATAATAATAATAATAATAATACTTTATTTATACCCTGCTCCTCAGGGGGACTCAGTGCGGCTTACATGGGGCCATGCCCATCAATATAGTACATACATTATTAAACAAAAACATAACAATACCTGAAAATAAAATACATAAAATGCAAAAAATCAATATAATAAGCGAAACAACAGTATAAAATGTCAGGTTTTACAATGTATTGTAATGTAATATAGCTGAGTCATGCACTGCTAATAGGCTTCTATTGGAAATGCTGAGTCATGCATTAACTGTATATAGAACCTCATTTGGGGAATGTGTTCTGGCCTAGTCCAGGTGATTGTGAATGATGTAATCCTGGGTCTGAGTTAAGTTAATGAGTTGGGAACCAATCAGAGACTGCTATGTGTAATTGTATAGAATTGTATACAAGGAAGTCGTGTAGAGTGTATACTCTTCTCCTTGTGCTGTTATGCTGTTCTTCAAAGGCTCTGTGTAATTGATTAAAAGAACCTGTCTGCTAAGACAAGATATAACTGTGTGCTGTGGTAAGTTTTGTAGTGTCATCTAGACTGGAGGGGAAAACAATAGTAAAACTGACAATGGCCGGGCATGTGCTCAAGTGTCTGTAAAAGAGTTCCAGAGTGGCTGCAGTCTGTGGGAGCAGTTGACTGAGAATACTGCGCAGGAAGAAGCTACTGGAAAGCGCTGAAGTTGTGCAAATGATCTGCTGCTGAATTGTGAAATTAATCTCAACATAAAAACAAACTATTAAAACGAAAAGATTTAACTGGGCAGGGCTACATTCAGGGATATGTAACTGTTGTTTTATCTGTTGTATATTTGAGGTATTGTTGCCGCCCCTGAGTCCTCCTTCGGGGGTAGAGAAAGGTGGGATACAAATATTTGAAATAAATAATAATAATAATAATAATAATAATAATATGCAAAGACTCTGGCACAAACCAGTCAAGGTGGTCCCAGTGGTGTTCGGCACACTGGGTGCAGTGCCTAAAGACCTTGGCCTGCACTTAAACACAATCAGCGCTGACAAAATTACCGTCTGCCAGCTGCAAAAGGCCACCTTACTGGGATCTGCACGTATTATTCACAGATACATCACACAGTCCTAGACACTTGGGAAGGGTCCAACGTGTGATCCAATTCAACAGCCAGAAGAGTGATCTTGTCTGCTGTGGACTCATCTTGTTGTGTTTCAAATAATAATAATAATAATAATAATAATAATAATAATAGAAACTCTGCATTTTTGTGACCATTCTGATATTAGGATAATTGAAGAAGAAACAGAAACAATATGGGTTGCTGTGAATTTTCTGTGCTGTACAGTTATGTGCCAGAAGCATTCTCTCCTGATGTTTCTCCCACATCTATGGCAGGTGTCCTCAGCCATGTGGGTTCTGGGGGGCAGACAACATTTTCAGGATATTTCCAAGTCCCTTTGGGTAGGTTAGGCCCAGGAGAAGCCTTTTAAAACTCAGGCAACGACCTAAATAAAAAGAATAAATAATAACAGGAGAGGCACCCTACCTGGGGTACGACTCCGATGGCCTTCCTGAGGCTTTCCAAGCTGATGTTCTGTATGTTCTGGCCGGAGACGTAAATCTCACCTTTCTGGGGTTCATAGAAACGGAATAGCAACCTTACTATCGTGCTTTTCCTTGAGAAAGAGAGAGAGAACGAAATAAAGGGTGGAAAAATGGGTGCATTGGATTAGAACCTGAATTACAGTACATACTCGAGTATAAGCCGAGTTTGTCAGCCCTTTTCTTAGGCTGAAAAAGCCCCCTTCGGCTTATATTCGAGTCTAGGTTATTTATGATTTTATTTATTTATCTAGGTTATTTATGATTTTACTCTGTTATTATTATTGTTATTATTATTACATTTATTTTTCTTTATTTATTATTGTTATTATTACATTTACATTATTTTAATCTATTTATTATTGTTATTATTACATTTACATTATTTTAATCTATTTATTATTATTATTACATATACATTATTTTACTCTATTATTATTGCATTTATTATTTACTCTATTTATTATTATTATTACATTTATTATTTTACTTTATTATTGTGTTTATTACATTTATTATTTACTCTATTTATTATTATTATTATTACATTTATTATTTTACTTTATTATTGTGTTTATTACATTTATTATTTTACTCTATTTTTATTATAACATTTACATTATTTTAATCTATTTATTGTTATTATTACATATACATTATTTTACTCTATGTGCAGCATTTTCCCGAATGAAGCAGAGAGTGTGTAGGGAGACCAAGGTGCTTGTATATAAAGCTATTGTCCTCCCAATCCTGCTCTTTGCCTGCGAAACATAGACTGTCTACAGACGTCACATGCAACTCCTGGAACGATTCAGTGATTGCTATGTGTAATTGTATGGAATTGTATATAAGGAAGTCGTGTAGAGTGTATAGTCTCTCCCTGTGCTGTGATGCTGTTTGTCGAAGGCTCTATGTAACACTGTTCTACAAATTTTTAGTTTTTCTCAGTTTCGGAAACGAAATGTGCTGTTTCTTAATAAATTTAACATGCTGAATTCAAATATAATAATTAAATGTGTTAATTGGTTCTGGTTTTTATGCAACAGCTATTTCAATTTTCTCCACAATAGGTAATTCGTTAATATTATGATAATGCGCCTAACCTTACTGCATGTATATAAACCGTGAATATTTACTAAATTTTAGTGAAATTATTTTGCCAATAGTTTATACATGAGAAATATTTATTTAATTAGTCTATTGTTTATGTCTGTGCAGCAAGAAACTCTATTAGTAGGCCTAATGCAGTTGAAAAGTCTGAAAGTTTAAATGCCGCTTTAATCATGACTTTAGTTTATATCCTGTTTGCTCCTCTTGACTTTTCTTTTGTATTCAAGGAAAGGATGGTCTCTTGCAATGCTCCAGCAGGAGTCTGACAGCATTGACGGAGTCCATTGGCCTTGATATCCTGCAAATCTCTTGAGAAGACAAGCAGACAAATGTCAGCGTGCTGGAAGAAGCAAAGACCACCAGCATTGAAGCGATGGTCCTCCGCCATCAACTCCGCTGGACCGGCCACGTTGTCCGGATGCCCGACCACCATCTCCCAAAGCAGTTGCTCTACTCCGAACTCAAGAATGGAAAATGGAATGTTGGTGGACAGGAAAAGAGATTTAAAGATGGGCTCAAAGCCAACCTTAAAAACTCTGGCATAGACACTGAGAACTGGGAAGCCCTGGCCCTTGAGCGCTCCAGCTGGAGGTCAGCTGTGACCAGCAGTGCTGCAGTATTCGAGGAGGCACGAGTGGAGGGTGAAAGAGAGAAATGCCAGGAGGAAGGCGCGTCAAGCCAACCCCGACCGGGACCGCCTTCCACCTGGAAACCAATGCCTTCACTGTGGGAGAAGATGTGGGTCAAGAATAGGGCTCCACAGCCACCTACAAACCCACAAAAATAGTCATCAAGGAAGACCATCTTACTCGTCCAACGAGGGATCGCCTAAGTAAGTAAGTAAGTATTATTGCATTTATTTACTCTATTTATTATTATTATTACATTTATTATTTTACTTTATTACTGTGTTTATTACATTTATTATTTTACTCTATTTTTATTATTACATTTACATTATTTTAATCTATTTATTATTATTATTATTATTATTTTACTCTATTATTATTGCATTTATTATTTACTCTATTTATTATTATTACATTTATTATTTTACTTTATTATTGTGATTATTACCTTTATTATTTTACTCTATTGCAGGGGTCCCCAAACTAAGGCCCGCGGGCCACTTCCAGCCCGCCAAGGGCACTTATCCGGCCTGTGGAGGAGGAGCGCCCCCCCCACTGCCCCTCCCTTGGCTGGCTCACGCTATCCGTCAGGCCCGATGAGCAGCGTGAGCCAGCCAAGGGCAGCTGCTCTGCACGGCCTACTCACGCGTAAAGCACCTCGCAAGGTGCTTTACGTGAAAGTAGGCCGCGCGGTGTTGCTCCTCCCTTGGCAGGCTCACACTGCCCATCGGGCCCGATGAGCAGTGTGAGCCAGCCAAGGGCAGCTGCTCCGCGCAGTCTACTCTCGCGTAAAGCACCTCGCGAGCCAGATTTTGTTCAGACTAGAAATAGGAAGATTTCCCATTCTCTGCTCCTGGAATTACTGCCTTAAAGAGGACTAGAAAGAACCCCTCTAAGGGCCCTTCCACACAGCAAAATAAGATATGTGCAATGTGCATAGGAATTTTTTATTGATTTTTTTTAAAAAAAAACTACAGTCCGGCCCTCCAACGGTCTGAGGGACAGTGAACTGGCCCCCGGTTTAAAAAGTTTGAGGACCCCTGCTCTATCTGTACGCAGATGATGTCCAACTCTATCACTCATTTCCACCTACCACTAAGGAGGCTGTTCAGGTCATGAACCGGTGCTTGGACGCTGTCTTGGACTGGATGAGGGACAACAGATTGAAACTAAATCCAGAGAAGACAGAGGTACTCCTGGTCAGTCGTAAGACCGAACAGGGTACGGGGTTACAGCCTGTGCTGGACGGGTCACACTCCCCCTGAAAGGCGCAGGTTCGCAGTCTGGGAGTTCTCCTTGATTCATCGCTGAGCCTGGAACCCCAGGTTTCAGCGGTGGTCAGGGGAGCATTCGCACAATTAAAACTTGTGCGCCAGCTGCGTCCGTACCTTGGGAGGGCTGACTTGGCCGGTAGTACACGCTTTGGTTACATCCCGCTTAGACTACTGCAATGCTCTCTACGTGGGGTTGCCTTTGAAGACTGCCCGGAAGCTGCAGCAAGTCCAACGCGCGGCAGCCAGACTACTAACGGGTGCTGGGTACAGGGAGCACACCACTCCGCTGTTACGCCAGCTCCACTGGCTGCCAATTAGCTTCCGAGCACAATTCAAAGTGCTGGTGTTAACCTATAAAGCCCTAAACGACTCCGGCCCTGTTTACCTCTCCGAACGTATTCTCCCCTATGAACCATCAAGATTATTAAGATCGTCTGGAGAGGCCCTGCTCTCGGTCCCACCGGCCTCGCAAGCGCCTGGTGGGGACGAGGGACAGGGCCTTCTCGGTGGTGGCCCCGCGACTCTGGAACTCTCTCCCTCTGGAGGCCAGAACCGCCCCATCCATCCTAACATTTAGGAAACGGGTGAAGACGTGGCTGTGGAGTCAGGCCTTCGATGAATGAGACAACACCATAGGACCCTGGATGGAAGTTGATGTACAGTATATTCTGGCGTATAAGACTACTTTTTAACCCAAGAAAATCTTCTCAAAAGTCAGGGGTCGTCTTATACACGGGTGTAGTCTTATGTATGGGAGTCATCTTAACTCTATATTTTAACTGGAAAAGTTGGGGGTCGTCTTATACGCCCAGTCGTCTTATATGCCGGAATATACGGTAGATCCATCTTAATAGGACAACTGACCACTGGAGTTTTATATGTAGTGTTTTTAAAGTTGTTTTTGTAATTGTGATATATGATATTTTAATGAGTGTATATGTTTTTTATGGCTGGAAACCGGGCTGAGTCCCTCAATGAGGTTGAGAAGCTCGGTATAGAAAACTGTGAAATAAATAAATAAATAAATATTGTATTATTACACTAGCTGTCCCCTGCCACACGCTGCTGTGGCCCAGACTGTGTATATGTGTTTTGTGTGTGTATATGTGTGCGTATGTGTGTTTGCATAAAGTTTGTGCATGCGTTGTAATGTAACTTTTGTTTTTTTGACTTTTTAAGTCTCTTCTGTGTTTTTCACTTTTTTTACGAGTGATGTCACTTGTTGGACTGTTAGGTGTATTGTGTCCAAATTTGGTGTCAATTCGTCCAGTGGTTTTTGAGTACTGTTAATCCCACAAACAAACATTGCATTTTTATTTATATAGATTATTTTACTCAATTATTATTATTATTACATTTATTATTTTACTCTATTATTATTATTATTATTACATTAATTAATCTTTCTGATCTTCAATTATAGTTTCATGTAAATATTTATTTATTTATTTACTTTATTTATATACCGCTTTTCTCAGCCCTCAGGCGACTCAAAGCGGTTAACAACATCAATACAAAACATCACAAGACAAGTATATAGCAGTTAAAAACAATTGTAACATAAACAATTAAACATCAGTATAACAATCATTAGCGCCTCAACTGATATACATTATGATGGTAGTTTCTCCTTAGTTGGTTTTGCAGTTCTACTATTAATTTAGTTTCCTAATGCAATTATGAGAATTTACCCAGACCTATGTATGACTGCAGCCCCTTTGAATGATTTGAAAACAATGGCCCGTCTCAATTTGGCGTAATGGCACACAGTATTTATTTATTTATTTATTTATTTACTTTGCTTGTATACCGCAGTTTCTCAGCCCGTAGGCGACTCAACGCGGTTCACAACAAGAGCAAAAGACAATCCAACAACATACAATATTAAAACCATTAACAGTATAAAATACAAACTAATGACATCTCAATAACAACACATTAACGTCTCGTAACTAAAATCGTGATCCAATTTGTCATCCATAATTCCGGTTCTATATTCATCGTGTTCATTGCATTATTTATCCGAACGCCTGTTCAAACAGCCAGGTTTTTAGTTTTCTTCGAAACACCATTAGCGAAGGGGCTGATCTAATGTCCATGGGAAGGGCGTATTATAACAGTTTCTCAGTTATGTGAATTTACAAGATCTTATGATTGCACCCCTTCAGAATAATTTGAAATCAGAATTTCCGCACTTTCTGAAAGTTACAATAATAGACTGGCCGCCGTCTTCAGCAGAACAACTCAGTAGGAAACTTATTCAAAAACTTTTAACCTACTCATGCCTCATTTAATATAATTTTATTGGTATCTATTTTTATTTTGAAATTTACCTGTAGCTGTTGCATTTTCCACCCTCAGCTTATACTCAAGTCAATATGTTTTCCCAATTTTTTTGTGGTAAGATTAGGTGCCTCGGCTTATACTCTGGTCGGCTTATACATATATACGGTAATTGCTTGCCACCAAAAAACAGAATAACTGCCGTTTAAAATGCAAGGAAAAGGAACCAATGATACAGAATTCTGCGCATCCGTTCTACCCACCCGGAGCCACTTCCTCCGACAATGGCCACTTTCTTTCCTGCGGGGACTTCGAAAGAGACGCCATTGAGGACCCTCTGCCCCTCAAGGTACTCAAAATGCACGTTATCGAAGGCGATGGTGGCCGTCTGCGGCGTGATCTGCAGGGCTGGAGCCAGATCTTTATCCTATCGAGAGAAGAGCACTGCTTTACACACAAAACCCAGGTGGGAAAAATGTTATTTCAAAGCACTTAACAAGCTACACAGTTTATAGTTATACCGCCTATCAGCTGGAATTTCTCTTTTACGAAACAGTTATCAATAAAGCAAAATAATACATGGCGTCTGAAAACACAGGAAGAACTACGAGAATCGGAGGTGAAGACAACCTGGTTTAATTACTTGCAAACAAAAGAATGTTTTAAAGAAGACCAAAATAAAACAGGTTTCAATGTTAGAGAGACATGCTGGGACATTATAATGTCCAGAGAAAAAAAGTGTTGCAACCCAGAGCAGGAAACTGGACCCTCAGGCAACAATCCACTACACTTGACTTCAGGAAAACAATCCTTTTTTATTGATGAAAGATGAGTACAAAATAAGAGGAAATATGCAAAGGTAAAAAAGCCACAGTAAAAATCAGCAACAAGAAAATGACCATAAAGAAGAACATAAAACCCACAGGAAAACTGCTGAATCCTAGAACCTGTTAGCAATCCACTAACCGTACTGGGAACAACTAGAAAACCTCCAAGGAACAAGGTCACTTGAATCAGGAGACCTGCAAAAGCTTGCACATGAATCTGAAACGATGCCTGGTCTGAAGCTGTATTCAGGTCAGGCATATTTAAGGCTAAGAAATCTATTGCGAGACATGCCTTAAGTTTTTGTTTGCATTTCTTTCAATCTGGCTGACCTACGTAAACTTTGTGCTTCTCCTCGGCTCTGCCAAATCTGCCCCCGCCTATCCTCATTAGGCAGACCAGGTGTCAGATCCTCTGGAGAACTAAGGGTGGGAGGAGAAGGGAGTGAAACTTCTCCGCTCGGCTCGGAATGCATGTTCTCATGGGAATTTTGACTTTCACTTTCCAAGGCTGTAGGACTTTCACTATTCAAACCATCATCATCTATATTGGCCTCAGAATTGGCATCAGGAAATACAATCAGAGAATCAGGCTCAGGTTCACACACAGGCTGAACCCCAACAAAAAGATAATTAGTCACCTGAGGGCTGAGAAAAGCGGTATAGAAATAAAGTAAATAATAATTAAGATAATCTACCAAAGTCTCCTAGAATGGGATAATGAGAAAGATCTGGTCAAGGACAATATGATCAAATGGGCAGAAGATGTAGGTCATTCAATACTTCTAAAAGAATGAGAATATATCTAGAAGAGAAAATTAAAATACACGAGTGCCATCAGTATAATAGAAAACTGGTACAAGATGTTTTGCCGCTGGTACCTCACACCAGTACAATTAGCTAAATTCTACAAAAACTACAATAACCAATGTTGGAAATGCAAAAGAGAACTGGGATCATACCACCACATGTGGTGGGACTGTAAGACCATCAAGAAATAATGGATAACAATCCATAGGCACTGCCAAAAAATTATTAAAATAAAATACGAATTGAAACCCGAATATTACCTGTTGAATATAATGGATTTTGAAATTGAGAAAAACGAAGAGAAGATTCTTTTTTATCTCACAGCCACGGCGAGAATTACGATCGCCCAAAAATGGAAAGATAAAGACCCTCCAATAATAGAGAACTGGCTCTCCAAGACTGGAGAATTTATGAACATGGATAGACTGTCACAGATAATTAAAAATCAGAAAAAGGAAAATCAAATCGAGTGGAACCAACTCAAAAAATATTTGCAGGAAAAAAACTGAAGATTGATATCAATATATAAACAAAACAATCAAAATACTCGGATAGCGACGACATAAAGAAAACTTTTTTCTTCTTTCCAAAACTGATGTTTGCATCTCTGTGGAATGAACTGGAAGTTCCTCACCCCAAAACTACCCCATGGAAGTTCCTCACCCCATGATTCTTTTTTTCTTTTTTTTTCAATCACTTTAACCCCTCCAGCCTCCTCAACTATCCCTAATCTTTTTCTGTTTTTTTCCCTCTTTTCTATTTTCCTACTTTTCTATTGCCACTATTGTTTCCCCTCTTTACGTGTCTGCAAGTATAAAGTTAATCAATAAAAAATATATTTTTAAAAAACAAGCTACACAGAAGGTCTGGTCTCAAAAGGAGGCGCAGACACAAGGAAGGAGTTGAGACCCACCCTTTCAGACCCAAAGGAATAAGTCTCCTCTCTCCGCTGCAAGAAATCCCCACAATCAAAGCCCTGGCTCCTAGGAATTCAGAGTTCGAAGGAGTGTGAGAATAGCTAACAAGAAGGAGGCCGGAGGCCAAAGAAACGCCTTCGTGTTTTGCAAAGGGTATTAAGAAGTGTGTTTGGGACCAAACCTTTGTCAGAGCAACTTTTCGTTTGACCAAGAAACTGGCATTTTGCTTGTCTGGATTATCTTGTAGTTCTGCACAACAATTTCTGCATTGTTAATTGAACAAATAAGAGAATGTCAGAAATATTCAAAAATTAACTAGGTACGTTTAATTACAAAAATGTGAGCCAAGCAATGAAAGGGTTAAATGGATGCAATGACTCTGCAAAAGCGGTAATTCTATATAAGCAGGTACGCCTGTAGCTTAGTTGCTCTCAGTCTGAGGGAGCCCTCAGTGTGAGAGGTCTCTGTGGGAGAAGGGCCTCAGTGTGTTAGTAGACCTCAGTATGAGAGGGCCTCAGTGTTAGTTCACCTCAATGTGAGAGAGGAGGAGGAGGAGGAAGAGGAGAAGAGGAGGAGGAGGAGGAGGAGAACAACAACAACAACAACAACTTTATTTTTCTACCCCGGAGCCCTCAGTGTGAGAGGTCTCTGTGGGAGGAGGGCCTCAGTGTGTTAGCAGGCCTCAGCATGAGAAGGCCTCAATGTTAGTTCGCCTTAGTGTGAGAGAGGAGGAGGAGGAGGAGGAGGAGGAGGAGGAGGAGGAGGAGGAGGAGGAGGAGGAGGAGGAGAAGGAGAGAGGAAGAGCAGAAGAAGAAGAAAGTTTTTTATTTTTCTACCCCGGAGCCCTCAGTGTGAAAAGTCTCTGTGGGAGAAAGGCCTCAGTGTGTTAGTAGGCCTCAGTATGAGAAGGCCTCAGTGTTAGTTTGCCTCAGTGTAAGAGAGGAGGAGGAGGAGCAGGAGGAGGAGGAGGAGGAGGAAGAAGTTATTCTCTTATTTTTCTACCCCGAAGCCCTCAGTGTGAGAAGTCTCTGAGGGAGAAGGGCCTCAATGTATTAGTAGGCCTCAATATGAGAAGGCCTCAGTGTTAGTTTGCCTCAGTGTGAGAGAGGAGGAGGAGGAGGAGGAGGAGGAGAGGAGGAAGAAGGAGGAAGAAGTTATTCTCTTATTTTTCTACCCCGGAGCCCTCAGTGTGAAAAGTCTCTGTGGGAGAAGCCTTGTGAGTAGGCCTCAGTATGAGAAGGCCTCAGTGTTAGTTTGCCTCAGTGTGTAGAGAAGGAGGAGAGAAGAGGAGAGGAGGAGGAGGAGAGAGAGAGAAGAAGAAGAAGAAGAAGAAGAAGAAGAAGAAGAAGAAGTTTATTTTTCTACCCCGGAGCCCTCAGTCTCTGTGGGAGAAGGGCCTCAGTGTTAGTTTGCCTCAGTGTGAGAGAGGAGGAGGAGGAGGAGGAGGAGGAGGAGGAGGAGGAGGAGGAGGAGGAGGAGGAGGAGGAGAAGAAGAAGAAGAAGAAGAAGAAGAAGAAGGAGTTGTTTATTTTTCTACCCCGGAGCCCTCAGTCTCTGTGGGAGAAGGGCCTCAGTGTTAGTTTGCCTCAGTGTGAGAGAGGAGGAGGAGGAGGAAGAAGAGGAAGAAGAAGAAGAAGTTTATTTTTCTACCCCGGAGCCCTCAGTCTCTGTGGGAGAAGGGCCTCAGTGTGTCAGTAGGCCTCAGTATGAGAAGGCTTCAATTCACCTCAGTGTGAGAGAGGAGAAGGAGGAGGAGGAGGAGGGGAAGAAGACAAACCTCTGCTACTATGCGTTTCTATCCAATATTAAACCACCCTATCCTTTAACCAGTTTGCATAGTTCCCTCTCCCCCCTTCCCTCCAAAAATTAGTCTGTCGTTGCTTTGATGTTTGATTATTATTGTTTATGCTGTTTTATGTTACTTAAACTGGTTGTTCTGTTTTTAATTGTATTTTGCCCTGGGCTTGGTCCCATGGAAGACGCCCCGAGTCCCTTCGGGGAGATGGAGGCGGGGTAGAAAAATAAAGAAATAGTATGGAAACAGAGCAATTAGACAGGATCAATTGAGCTTAACTTAAAAAAAATCTATAGTAATATAATATAGGAATTCAGATTCAGGTCATGATTCAGATTATGATACAAATCAGTTGTCATAGGGGTCGTCAGTCGAATGCACGACGAAACATCCACGTCTTTAATTCCTTATGGAATGTGGGTAGGGAGGGTGCCAGACTAATCTCCCTGGGGAGGGAGTTCCAGAGACGGGGTGTGTGATGATGTGTAACTTTTATTCTCATGTTTATGTGTTGTTTAGACAGTGGTTGATAAATGGCAAGTATGAAGGAATATATTTTGTTGGAGATCGTGGCTTGGCATTAGCTGGGTTGCCATAGCAACAGGGGCGGAGCCAACTGCCTCTTTACGAGGCAGCTGTTTTGAAAGTCAGTCAGTAAGCCGGTGAGCTACTGGGAAGACTGAGTCTCTGGGTGGAGATTCAGGGAATGTGTCTGTAGCCGGTGTGCTATAGGGAAGACTGAATCTCTGGGTGGAGATTCAGGGAATTAATTGGTGACCAAAGGGGTTACAGAAAAGGACCCGGTAGTGATAAAACTACAGGGGGTTATTGATTCTGAGTTAAGAATCAAGGTTTGGCTGGGAGCCAATTCTGTTAATAAGCCTTTTAGCTTATTTGTTTTATTAGGACAGTTGTCCAGAAGAGTTACATCTGCTTATAGAAACCTCTTGAAGTCTGTGCCTGAGATTACTCATGAAACCTTACTAATGTAACCAATCAAGATTTGTGCCTCTTGTGAAGAAACAGTTAAACATGTTATACTCCTGTTAAAATAAACTTGTTACTGTTTTCCTCAAGCCTTGCCTGATACAGTTTCTCTTAAGACAAACAGCCTGCATAAGAAGTAAAGTCAGCCAGGGACAGTAAACGCTACGCTATCAAATGTATAAAGCCTTCTGTAATTAATAGTCCCTTTATAAAATAGCTCCTAAGCTGATATTGATCGTTGCCCGGCTTCCCTCACAGATTAGGTTGCAGTAAGCTTTAACCACGCTCCTTCACAGGGGGCCACCACTGAGAATGCCCTTTCTCCTGTCCCCACCAACCGCGCCTGAGTGGGGGGGGGGGGAGAGCGAGAGAAGAGATGCAGAGCCAACCTCAAGAAATGGGGCCACAAAGTGGAATCCTCGACATGCGAGTGGGGAGAAGAGTCAACCACTGACCACCTGCTGCAATGCAACCTGAGCCCTGCCACATGCACAAGGGAGGACCTTCTTGCAGCAACACCAGAAGCACTCCAAGTGGCCAGATACTGGTCAAAGGACATTTAATCAACTACCAAGCTTGCAAACTTTGTGTTTTGTTTGTCTGTTTGTTTGTTAAAAATGCAATGCAAATGTCTGGTCTGCCCCTGACACGATAAATAAATAATCCGTCTAGTAAGGGTTTTGAAAGCACTGATTGCTCAATACTTACTTTAATTTTGGTGTCGACGCTAAGCAGCGTGAACAAGGTGTTCATGTCAATGAGGGCCTGCCTCGTCTCCCTGTACACCGTCCCCAGGAAGTTCAGGGGCAACGACAGCTGGAACAGCAACCCATTCACCATCACTAGGTCGCCAACGGTGAGGTTGCCTTCATGATAAACAAAAAGAGGGGGGGGGGGTTTGAATAGTTGGGAGCCAGCAATTCCTCTCTGCTCTTCGAGATAAACTGCAGCAAATTGAAAAATAACCTGCGATTATCCCAGCTCAATTCCGTACTCAGCGAACACATGCACCTTAAAAATAAATCTAGTCGGTAAACATGTTTTTTAGTTTTCCCAAGTGACTAGAAATGTTCAGTCAGATCTGAGTTGCTGTGAGTTTTCCGGGCTGTATGGCCATGTTCCAGAAGCATTCTCTCCTGACGTTTCACCTGCATCTATGGCAAGCATCCTGCTTGAAGCCAAGGTTAATCCATAGAGGTTTGCATGGAAAGAGCTACTTTGAACTGACAACCCCTGTGTGTCAGCGAGAAGGCTAAATAAGAGAAGGCCTTTGCAGATATGAACACATTGCGATGACCTTTGGCAGACTTGGCTTCTCGCTTAACTTATCCAAATCCTCTTCCATGCCATAGTCAAACATTATCAATTGTCATTTAACCTGATTGCCCGAAGGCCTGGTCCCACAGCCACATTTTAACCTTTTTTCTAAAGGTGAGGAGGGATGACGATGAGGTTGTGAGGTCTGTTAGAAACTAAGCAAGTGGGGTTCATATATCTATGGAATGGTGTCCAAGGTGGGAGAAAGAACTCTTGTCTGTTGGAGGCAAGTGTGAATTTTGCAATTGGCTACCTTGATTAGCATTGAATGGCCTTGCAGCTACAAGGTTTGGCTGATTCCTGCCTGGGGGGATTTTTTGTTAGGAGGTGTTAGTTGGCTCTGATTGTTTCCTGTCTGGAATTCCCCTGTTTTTCAGTGTTGTTCTTTCCTTACTGTCCTGATTTCAGAGTTTTTTTAATACTGGTTGCGAGATACAGTCTACCGTATCCATGCAGCTGTGGACAAGTCTACACAGAGACTACCAAATGCAGCGCCCAAACATAAATCAAGGAACAGTAGGCACTGCAGACTAATTCAACCAGAGCAATCAGTCATAGCATACTGGTAGCCAGATTTTGATGATAATAATAATAATAATAATAATAATAATAATAATAATAATAATAAAAATAATTTATTTAATATTTATATACTGCCCTAGGGGACTCAGAGCAGTTTCCACATATGCAAAATAATACAAAAACATACAATATAAAACAGTTTCCTCCTTTCTGTTGAAATGTCCACATGCTTGCAGATTTCAGTGGCTTCTCTGTGTAGTCTGGCATGGTAGTTCCAGACAGGAAACAATCAGGGCCAGCTAACACCTCCAAATAAAGGATTCCTCCAAGCAGGAAGCTGCCAGGCTTTAAAACTGCAAGGCTATTCAATCCTAATCAAGGTGGCCAATATAAACCTCACTTGTCTAGTTTCCAACCGACAACCTCTGTTGTCAGGAAACAATCAGGGCCAGCTAACACCTCCAAACAATAAATTCCTCCAGGCAGGAAGCAGCCACGCTTTGAAACTGCAAGGCTATTCAATGCTAATCAAGGTGGCCAATATAAACCTCACTTGCCTAGTTTCCAACCAACAACCTCTGTTGTCAGGAAACAATCAGGGCCAGCTAACACCTCCAAACAAAGGATTCCTCCAGGCAGGAAGCAGCCAGGCTTTGAAACTGCAAGGCTATTCAATGCCAATCAAGGTGGCCAATATAAACCTCACTTGTCTAGTTTCCAACCGACAACCTCTGTTGTCAGGAAACCATCAGGGCCAGCTAACACCTCCAAACAAAGGATTCCTCCAGGCAGGAAGCAGCCAGGTTTTGAAACTGCAAGGTTATTCAATGCTAATCAAGGTGGCCAAAATAAACCTCACTTGCCTAGTTTCCAAAAGACCACACAACCTCTGAGGATGCTTGCCATAGATGGGGGAGAAATGTCAGGAGAGAATGCTTTTGGGAACATGGTCAGGCAGCCTGGAAAACTCACATGACAACATGACAACACAGTCAAACCACTTGTTAAGGTTCATTTAGTCTCCAAAACCCATCAGGTCAGGACAGGTGAGGTGTTTACCTGCAAGAATCCCCTGGCTGGCCAAGACCATGGCGGCAGTCAAGCCAATGCTGAAGATGGTGTTCTGTCCAAAGTTCAGCAGAGCTAAGGTGGAGGTAGTTTTCAGGGAAGCGTTTTCGTAGGTCTTCAAATACCCATCATACCTCTGGGCTTCGTGCTTTTCATTATTGAAATACTAGCAGGGAAAAGAAGAAGATGTTTTATCTAACATTTCAATGGGCCACAAGGCACAGAGAGCTTCATCTATGCTGTCAATTGTGCCACCACTGCTAAAGCAATGGTTGAACAGAAGCTCTCCAAAACTTTAGGTGCTCTTACTGCCTATTACAGGGAAAACCAGCTGATTCCTAATGTTTAACATTTACACAAATGACCAGCCACTGCCAGAAGGGACAGAGAGTTTCATCTATGCTGACGATCGTGCCATCAACGCTCTAGCAGGGAGCTTTGAAATGGTTGTATAGAAGCTCTCCGAAGCTTTAGGTGCTCTTACTGCCTATTACAGCTGATTCCAAATCCATCTAAAACACAAATGCTTTCATCTTAAAAACAAAAAAGCACCTCCAGGTCTGAAGATGACCTAGGAAGAAATCCCACTGTAACATTACAGCACATCCAAATGTGCCGCCAGAAGATGGAGAAGTTGGAGGGATGGGAATAGGAGTTCACATGTGGAATTAGGAACAGCTGCTAGAGATGACGGGACGGAGGTCAGCTCATCTTCTGATGATGATGTGTAAGATAAAAGTAGGCTCTGAAATGGGGAATCTTCGCAGAAGGCAAGGTGTTGGTTGTGCATTGGGTTCTTGTTGCTGCCTATTTCGTGTTGGTATTGGGTCCTGGATCTACAGGTTGCTGCTTCTGTTTGTGTTTTTGACTCAGCTTGGATTCCCGTGAGTGCTGACTTCTTCCTTGACTACGATGCTGATTACGTGCACTTTGGGACTTCGCTACTTTGAATTTGGCTTGCTTTGACCTTTGGACTTCATTTGACTACGCTTCCTTCCCTGCGGCCTTTGTGTTTGTTAACTGTGTACTTGCTGTGCTATTTTGGGGAACTTGCGGAGCACTTTTGTTTTAATCTGGTTCTTTTCTCCGGATAATCCGGGTTATTGCTCCAGTTAACTCTTTTGAACCAAGATTGGTTTCTGCTTTTGAGTTTGGCCAGAGTCACTGAATTACCGTATATGCTTGAGTATAAGCCGACCCGAATATAAACCGAAGCACCTAATTTTACCACCAAAAAATGGGAAAACTTATTGACTCGAATATAAGTCGAGGGTGGGAAATGCAGCAGCTACTGGTAATACAAAATAAATATAGATACCAATAAAATTACATTAATTGAAGAAACGGTTTTTCAATGTTTATATAAAACTGTAATTTAAAATAAGACTGACCAACTTTGATTAAGCCATTATTCTAACCTTTTTCAGTGTCAATGTGCTTACGTATCCTTCCAATAATAAGAAAGAAAGTAAAATAATAAATGTAATAACAACAATAATGAAGTAAATAAATGTAATAATAATAAGTAAAATAAACGTAATAAAATAAGAGTAAAATAATGCAAATGTAATAATGCCAATAATAGAGTAAAATAATAAATGTAATAATGATAATAATAAATAGAGTAAAATAAATGTAATAAAATAATAATAGAGTAAAATAATGCAAATGTAATAATGCCATTAATAGAGTAAAATAATAAATGTAATAATGATAATAATAAATAGAGTAAAATAAATGAAATAAAATAATAATAGAGTAAAATAATGCAAATGTAATAATACCAATAATAGAGGAAAATAATAAATGTAATAAAAATAATAGTACTATGTCAGGATTATTGAAAGTATGCATGTATGTTTTTTCAATGTGTTTCAATATGATTAACAATGGTGTTCATATGTATTCAAGATGGATTCAGTTATATTCAATTGTATGTTGGCATTGTTGTTGTAAGAGACAGAGAGGCAGAGAAGAAGAGACTTTGACAGAAGTTAAATAACGAATGTCTCTGTCTGGGAAGAATTAGGGAGTAGCCGGCTTACAGCCAAAGAGAAACTGATAAGCACATGTTCTGTAACCGTACTATTGCTGTGCTTTGTAGTTCATGATGTAGCCCGCTGAGAAGTAGACGTGTAGAGATGTACTGAGTAGAAACTTCGTTATTTTTAAAACTGGCAGACTGTTTTGTGTCTGTGTGATTTAGTAACCTCATCGCTGCGCGTAGACCCCAGGGTCTCACTCTGACATAATAGCAGAGTAAAATAATAAATAACTTGGACTCGAGTATAAGCCAAGGGCAGCCTAAAAAAGGGGCTGAAAAACTAGGCTTATACTTGAGTATATATAGTGTCTCTGAGCCCTTTTTCTTTACTTAATAAACTTTACTTTAGAACTAATTCTGAGTATTTATTTATTTATCGGGTCATCAGCAACCATACCATTGTATTACAATTCTAACAGAACAAAACAAACACACAGATTTTGCAAAATTGGTAGTTGGTTAAATGTCCTTTGACCAGTATCTGGCCACTTGGAATACCTCTGCTGTTGCCGCAAGAAGGTCCTCCCTGGTGCATGTGGCAGGGCTCAGGGTGCATTGCAGCAGGTGGTCAGTGGTTTGCTCCTCTCCGCACTCGCATGTCGAGGATTCCACTTTGTGGCCCCATTTCTTAAGGTTGGCTCTGCATCTCGTGGTGCCAGAGCGCAGTCTGTTCAGCGCCTTCCAAGTCGCCCAGTCTTCTGTGTGGCCAGGGGGGAGTCTCTCATCTGGTATCACCCATGGATTGAGGTGCTGGGTTTGAGCCTGCCACTTTTGGACTCTCGCTTGCTGGGGTGTTCCAGCGAGTGTCTCTGTAGATCTTAGAAAACTATTTCTTGATTTAAGTCATTGACGTGCTGGCTGATACCCAAACAGGGGATGAGCTGGAGATGTCACTGCCTTGGTCCTTTCACTATTGGCTGCTACTTCCCGGCGGATGTCAGGTGGTGCAATACTGGCTAAGCAGTGTAATTTCTCCAGTGGTGTGGGGCGCAGACACCCCGTGATAATGCGGCATGTCTCATTAAGAGCCACATCTACTGTTTTAGTGTGGTGAGATGTGTTCCACACTGGGCATGCGTACTCAGCAGCAGAGTAGCATAGCGCAAGGGCAGATGTCTTCACTGTGTCTGGTTGTGATCCCCAGGTTGTGCCAGTCAGCTTTCGTATGATGTTTTTTCTAGCGCCCACTTTTTGCTTGATGTTCAGGCAGTGCTTCTTGTAGGTCAGAGCACGGTCCAGAGTGACTCCCAGGTATTTGGGTGTATTGCAATGCTCCAGTGGGATTCCTTCCCAGGTAAATCCTCAGAGCTTGGGATGCTTGTCTGTTCTTAAGGTGAAAGGCACATGTCTGTGTTTTAGATGGATTAGGGATCAGCTGGTTTTCCCTGTAATAGGCAGTAAGAGCACCTAGAGATTCGGAGACCTTCTGTTCTACCATCTCAAAGCTCCCTGCTTGAGTGGTAATGGCACGATCATCAGCATAGATGACGCTCTCTGTCCATTCTGGCAGTGGCTGGTCATTTGTGTCAATGTTAAACATGGATGGAGCAAGCACACTCCCCTTCTGTAATTCTGAGTCTGGCCCTTTAAGGTGTCTGTGTCCCGACACCAATGGCTGACTTGTCAGTTAGAGTTGTCGTTTCTTCCCAGACACGTTCTTCTCCACATCGACATCTCTTTTATACGGGTGAAAAACAGCACGTTTATATGGGGAAACAATCAACGTTGGGTCCTTGACCTGACTTTCCATATGAGACACCGTTTTACTTGAAGACGTAAATAAGTGGAAGGGGAAACCTTTGGAGCCAGCCATGTGCATCTCAATTCTAAAGGTTTTCTTAAGCGAGGGCTAATTCTGAAACTCATTATTATGTACAGAATGGAGCAAATGCAAGTTTCCATTTGAGTCAAAAGTAGGAAAGCAGGCATTAATGGATAACAGCGCCAGAGTTAATGGCAATATGGGAAATTAAAATGGTTAATGGCTCACCTTCACAGTTTCATAATTGAGCAGCGAGTCGATGGCAGCGTTACCTGCGTCGTTATCGGCTTTGTTCATTTCTATCCTAAATTTAGTCCTGGAAGACAAAGAGGTTTGCATAGAGAGAGGCCTGTTCTCTGCTGCCGCAGAAATCGGTGCGTTCTGCCCTGTGAGCCTTACCTCCATTGCGTGACTCCTATCGTGAAGGCTATGTACGTCCCGAGTGTCCCCAGGGTGATTAGTGCAAAGGGACCCCCACACTTGTAATACTAGAGAAGACAAAAAGAGAGAGAAATGGGCAATGAAACAATTTAAACATTCCAATCTTCCAAAGTATTCAGAGTGTTGCAACTCAGAGTAAGCTTCGCCTTGCTCCCAAACACCACCACACCAGAGCTGTAGGTTCATAGTTTATTGAGGAAAAAATCCAAGTCAAAATAAAGAATAAGCAATGCAAAGTTCCAAAGACTCGGGTTAAATGCAGAATACAGTTCCAAGGATCTTCAGGTAAAAACAAAAGGCACAATCCTTTAAGCAAAGGTCAAAACAGAGTCCATGGTACATACATTTAAACACTAGCCCCAAGAATCACGATGCAAGAAACCCAAAGCATGCTGCTTTCAAGCCAAGGTTATTCCATGAAGCTTTCAGGCTAAAAAGCTATGTTGAACTGACACTTTCTCTTCGTTCACGAGAAGCCTAAATACCTTTTGCTAACATGAAAATCTGCGAACCCCACCTTCTCCAAGATGAACTGGACCACCTAAACTGGGCTCTACAGGCCAATGGATACTCCACCTCAGACATCAGAAGAACTGCAAAACCGAGAACAAACCATGAGAGTAAAGATGAAGATCCACCCAGAGGAAAAGTGTTCTTGCCATTCATCAAGGGAACCACTGACCGCATAGGGAAGCTGATGAGGAAACACAACATACAAACCACTGATAGACCCACCAAGAAAATCCAACAAATGCTACGTTCAGCAAAGGACAAGAGGGATCCTCTCACCTCTGCAGGAGTCTACCGTGTACCATGCAGCTGTGGACAAGTCTACATAGGGACCACCAAACGCAGCATTGCCCAGACACGCATCAAGGAACATGAAAGGCACTACAAACTACTCCAACCAGAGAAATCAGCCATAGCAGAGCACCTGATGAACCAACCTGGACACAGCATATTATTTGAGAACACAGAAGTGCTGGACCACTCTCACAACCACCATGTCAGACTACACAGAGAAGCCATTGAAATCCACAAGCATGTGGACAATTTCAACAGAAAGGAAGAAACCATGAAAATGAACAAAATCTGGCTACCAGTATTAAAAAACTCAAAATTACAACAGCAAAACAACAGAGGGGAAACAAACAGGCACATAAAATCACTCTCAACAAAAGATTCCCCCCAGGCGCTTCCAAGCCATTGAATGCAAATCAAGGTGATCAGCTGAAACATTCACAGCTATCCCCAGCAGACAAAAGTCCTTTGTCTCACCCTGGTCATTCCACAGATATATAAACCCATTTTTCCTACTTCCAACAGACCTCACTACCTCTGAGGATGCTTGCCATAGATGCAGGCGAAACGTCAGGAGAAAAATTGCCTCCAGAACATGGCCATATAGCCTGGAAAAACCTACAACAACCTAGTGATTCCAGCCATGAAAGCCTTCGACAATACAACATGAAAATATTTACGCTCTCACCAACATGAAAGCATTGCGATGACCTTTCCCTGAGCTGGCTTCTCTTCTGCTAGCTAAGCATGAACTCCTCCTGACCCGCAAATCAGGATGTGCTTGCTGGGTCAGGTCACTATCAAGGCTTTCTGCACTTTCACTATCAGCGTGGGAAGGCAAAGGCCTCTCCACCTGTTCGATATCTAATTAGTTGGCATTGCTTTCTTCTGGGAACTACTTTGTTGACTCTGCACTGTCTGTTGGAGTCTCAGAAAAAGACCTAGGAGCAGGCCCAGGAATCTGAGGCAGAGAAAAAGAGCCAGGAATCTGAATCCCATCATCCTCATCACCAGAGAATATCTCAGGCCCGGAATCACGCTGAACCACAACAAAGACAAAATTTGCAAAAGCAACCATCTTCTGACAGACCTATGGAAATGCAAGCAAGGAACACAACCCAGTTCCCAGATACAACTCACTTGTGAGCTCCTCCACAGATCTTTGTGGACAACCCATGCAGATATGATAAAATGACCATCATGTTATTAAAACTGGAGAATGGGACGCGCATCCAATGCCTGGGGTTAAACCACAGATTATTTATTATTTACATATTTATTACAGTATTTATATTCCAGGACTCAGGGTGGATTACAATGCACATATACGTGGCAAACATTCAATGCCATTAGACATAAAACATATATAGAGGACGAAACTAGCTTTGGCCACTGACTCTAACAGTTTTTGGCCTACTCGCTCTCCTCAGGACGACACTAGTTTTGGTTCACTTACTCTAACAGTTTTTGGCCTACTCACCCTCCTCAGGATGACACTACCTTTGGCCCACTGACTCTAACAGGCTTTGGCCTACTCACTCTCCTCAGGACGACATTAGCTTTGACCCACTGACCATAAGTTTTTGGCCTACTCGCTCTCTTCAGGACCACACTAGCTTTGGCCCACTGACTCTAACAGGCTTCGGTCTCCTCACTCTCCTCAGAATGACTCTAGCTTTGGCCTACTCACTCTTCTCAGGACGACACTAACTTTGGCCCACTGACTCTAACAGGCTTTGGCCTACTCGCTCTCCTCAGGATGACACTAGCTTTGGCCTACTGCCTCTAACAGTTTTTGGCCTACTCGCACTCCTCAGGACTAGCTTTGGCTCACTGACTCTAACAGTTTCTGGCCTACTCGCTCTCCTCAGGACACTACCTTTGGCCCACTGACTCTAACAGTTTTTGGCCTACTCGCACTCCTCAGGACGAGACTGGCTTTGGCTCACTGACTTTAGGCCTACTCACTCTTTTCCACTTACTAAAATCCCGCTGACGAGGCCCACTTCGAACAAGGTGGGCCCCAGGTTGAAGACCAAGGCGCTGAGGATGAAGCTGATGCCTCTGGTCCCCCGGTCAATGGCTTTGGACAAGGCGCCTGTCTGTCGGTTCAGGTGGAAACTCAGGTCCAGGTTATGCAGGTGGAGGAAGACATTCCTGGCTATCCTTCGGATGGAGTTTTGGGCAACTTTCCCAAAAACTGCGTTCCTAACTTCATTAAACAAAGCAGAGCCGGCCCGCGAGATGCCGTCTGGTGAAAAGAGAAGAAGTAAGAGGGATGTTAGATTCATGGACCAAGATCCTTTAACATCATGGTGGAACACATTTATAGCTAGGGGACTTGCAGAAGGAAACTTTAAGGAAATACATATACAGGATTTATTATTATTATTATTATTATTATTATTATTATTATTATTATTCCTCTCTTGATGTAACAGTTCCACAGCTTTCGTTGCCCACAAACAATTCAGTTTATTATTTTACTTTACTGTTATTAGAAGGATATGTAAGCACATTTACACTGAAGAAGGTTAGAATCATGGTTTAATCAGAGTTGGACAGTCTTATCTTAAATTAGTTTTATATAAATACTACCTGTACCCGCCACGCTTTGCTGTGGGTGGGGGGGGGGGGGGTGGCGGGGGGGGGAGGGGTTGTGAGTTAGGAGGGTGGGGGCGTAGGGGGGGGGGGGGGGGGGGGCGTGGGGGAGGGGGGGGGGGGGGGGGGGGGGGGGGGGGGGGGGAGGCTGAAGGAGGATGGAGGGGGGGTGGGAGACTTCCCATCACACATTGGGGGTTGGGGGTGGGGAATGCCATGGCTGTACCCGCCACGCTTTGCTGTGGCCAACCTTCCCTCTTTCTCTCCTTCGTTCCCTCCTTCCTTCCCTCCTTCTTTCCTTCTCTATCTCTTTCCTTCCTTCCCCCTTTTTCTTTCTCTTCTGCTGTCTCTCTTTTCTTCCTTCTTTCTTTCCTTCTTTCCTTCCCTCCCTTTCTCTACATTCCCCTTCCTTTGCTCCCTCTTTCCTCCCTTCTTTCCCTTTTTCTTTCCTTCTCTCCTTCCTTCCTTCTCTAACTTTCCTTCCTTCCCCCTTTTTCTTTCCCTCCTCTTTCTCTCCTTTCTTCCTTTTCTACCTCTTTCCTTCCTTCCTTCTCTCTTTGCTTCCATGCTTCCTTCTCCCTTTCCTTCTTTCTTTCCCCCTTCTTTCTTTCTTTCTTTCTTTCTTTCTTTCTTTCTTTCTTTCTTTCTTCTCTCCCCTTCTCTCCCTCTTTCTTCCCTTTTTTCTGTATTGTCACTTAGCTTTTCGTCATTTAGATTTTTGGGGCTTTTTAAGTCCCTTCTGCTGTGTTTTTCAGTGTTTTTATGAGTGATGGCCACTCTTTGGCCTGATAGGTGTCTTGTGTCCAAATTTGGTGTCAATTCCCCCAGTGGTTTTTGAGTTCTGTTAATCCCACAAACGAACATTACATTTTTATTTATATAGATTCAAAAACATTTCACCTCTGGGTGCCTCAATTAATGTAATTTTATTGGTATCTATTTTTATTTTGAAATTTTCCAGTAGCTGCTGCATTTTCCACTCTCGGCTTATATTCTAGTCAGCTTATATTCAAGTATATACGGTATTATATTCTTCTTCTTTTTCTTCTTCTTATTATATTATTATTATTATTATTACTAGCTGTACCCGCCACGCGTTGCTGTGGCCAACCTTCCCTCCCTCTTTCTCTCCTTCCTTCCCTCTTTCCTTCCTTTCCTCTTTTTCTTTCCCTATCTCTCATCTTTCTTCCATCTCTACCTGTTTCTTTCCTCCCTTTCTTTGCTCTTTGGTTACACCTTCCTTCCTTCCCTATCTTTTGTTCCTTCTCTCCTTCCTTCCCTCTCTTTTTCCTTTCACTTTTTTATTTCCTTCTCTCCTTCCTTGCTTCTCTATCTTTCTTTCTTTCCTTCTTTCCCTCCCTCCTTCTCTCCTTCCTTCCTTCCCTCTTTCCCTCCTTCTCTCGTTACTTCTTGACTGTCCCTTCCATTTAATATTGTATTTATATCTTAGAAAGAAGGAAAGGAAGAAGGGAAGGAAGGAGGAAAAGAGAAGGAGGGACAGAAGGAGGGAGGAGGAAGGAAGAGGAAGGAAGGAGGGAAAGAAAGGAGGGAGGTGAAGAAAGGAGGGAGGGAAAGAAGGAGGAAAGGGAGGGAGGGAGGAGAAGGAGGAAGGAGGAAGGAAGGAGGGAAAGAAAGGAGGGGGATGAAGAAAGGAGGGAGGGAAGGAAATGAAGGGGAAGGAAATGAAGAAAGGGAAAGAAGGAGGAAAGGGAGGGAGGGAGGGAGGAAGGAAAGGAAGGAGGGTCAGGAAGGAAGGAAAAAGGAAGGGAGGGAGGAAAGAAGGGAAGGAGGAAAAAGAAGAGGGAGGAGGGAGGGAGGAAGGAGAAAGGAAGGAAGGAGGAAGAAGGAGAGAAGGAAAGGAGGGAGGGAAGGAAAGGAAGAAAGGAAAGAAGGAGGAAAGGAGGGAGGGGAGGGAGGGAGGGAGGAAAAGAAGGAAAGGAAGAAGGAAGGAGGGACAGGAAGGAAGGAAAAAGGAAGGGAGGGAGGGAAAGAAGGGAAGGTAGGGAAAAAAAGAAGGGACAGGAAGGGAGGGAGGAAGGAGAAGGAAGGAAGGAGGGAAAGAAGGAAAGGAAGGAGAAGGAAGAAAAGGAATGGAAGGAAAGGAAGGAAAGGGAGGAAAGAAGAGAAGTGAGGGAGAGAAGGAAGGTCCTTCATTCAAGCATCGTGGACCTTCCTTGCCTCCTCCCCCTCTTCCTCCTCCCCCTCTTCCTCCTCCCTTGCGTGGATGCTCCGTTGCTGCTGCTTTCCCAACAGGGAAAGGAGGAGTAGGAGACTGCTGTCCTGACATAGGAGGGAAAGAGAAGGGGCTGCATGCGGCAAGCCTCCACCTCCACTACACTCGCTTATGTGTGTGTGTGTGGCTGAGCACGTGAGCCTGGTTTAACGGCTGGCTGTTTCTCTGTGAGGAGGAGGAGGGGGCGTGGCCATGGGTCTCGGTAGACATGCAGTTTCTCCTTTGTGGACATGCAGCTTAGAAGTCCTTTCTGCTTTTAGTTTTTGGTTTTTTTTTTTCTGAGTGGAGAACATACATTTTTCGGACACAGTGTCCAAATTAGGTGTCAATTGCCCCAGTGGTTTCTGAGTTCTGTGAATAGCACAAACGAACATTACATTTTTATTTATGTAAATTATTATATTAAACTCAGACTTCATATGCAGAATCCTTGAGGACAAACTATGAGTACAATAAAGGATGACTATAACAGAAATTATTTCCGACCAAAAGTGTTGGCACGGGATTTCATGCACCCAGATGCTGAGAAGTGTAAACAGCGAAAAGTTCACTTTCCAAAACCTTCTGGAAGAAAGTTGAGAGATTAAAGAATCACACTTACATCCAATCAGAACCGCCGTTGCCATAGTTGTGACGGTATTTGGCGCATTGCTCAGGTTCAACACATTTCCAGACATCTGGTTGAGGTTGTCGACGGCGTATTTAAACATGAAGGGAACCACTATATTCATTGCCTTAAAAAAAAAAGCACAAAACGTGGTGATTACACAAGATGTGCTAAATCGCTTATATGTAACGGGTAATTATTGCTGTGCGATAATATTGCTGGGTGAGTGGGCTTATGAACAAAAGACCCTCCCCATAAATGTGATAAAAAGAAAAGAAACACAAAGATCAATGTCATCTCTTCCTTTCCTTTGTAGTAAATAATAAGGTTGCACTGTTTACAAGGTTTCCATAACACAAATAAACAAATACACAGTAGCTCTGCACAGAGCAGCCTTCACACTGGAGGTTTCTCACACAAGGCTTCTCTCACACAGAGGTTTACCTCACACTCCTCAGGACGACACTAGTTTTGGCCTCTGACTCTAACAGGTTTCGGTCTACTCCAGTGGTTCTCAACCTTCCTAATGCCACGACCCCTTAATACAGTTTCTCCTGCTGTGGTGACCCCCAACCGTAAAATTATTTTCATTGTTACTTCATAACTATAATTTTGCTACTGTTATGAATTGCAATGTAACTATCTGATATGTGTTTGAGGAGTTGTAGTTGCTGGGATTTATAATTCACCTGCAATCAAAGAGCATGCTGAACTCCACCAACAATGGAATTGAGCCAAACTTGGCACACAAAACTCCCATGATGGATCCGGACCAAACTTGGCATGAATACTCAATATGTCCAAATGTAAACACTGGCGGAGTTTGGGGGAAATGGACCTTGACATTTGGGAGTTGTCATTGTTGGGATTTATAGTTCATCTACAATCAAAGAGCATTCTGAACTCCACCAATGATGGAATTGAACCAATTTTGGCACACAGAACTCCCATGACAAACAGAAAATACTAGAAGGCTTTGGTGGACATTGACCTTGAATTGTGGAGTTGTAGTTCACCTACATCCAGAGAGCACTGTGGACTCAAACAATGATGGATCTGGACCAAACTTGGAACGATTACTCAATATGCCCAAATGTGAACACTGGCGGAGTTTGGGGGAAATATACCTTCACATTTGGGAGTTGTCATTGTTGGGATTTATAGTTCACCTACAATCAAAGAGCATTCTGAACTCCACCAATGATGGAATTGGACCTAACTTTCCAAACAGAACCCAGATAACCAACAGTAAATACTAGGCCTGGGCAATGCATGGTTCCAAATGGTTCTAAAGTACTTACAAATCTATCTGGTGGCGAAAATTTCAGAAATCTAACAACTCTCAAAATGTCATTATAAGGAAATTTATAAATTTATTTATTTATTTATTTATTGTGTCAGTATCAACCAGACAATTGTATTGCATTTTTAACAAATTTGTAACAAACAGACAAAACAGAGTTTGCAAGCTTGGAAGTGGATTAAATGTCCTTTGACTAGTAGCTGGCCACTTGGAGTGCCTCTGGTGTTGCCGCAAGAAGGTCCTCCATTGTGGAGGTCCTGCATGTGGCAGGGCTCAGGTTGCATTGTAGCAGGTAGTCTGTAGTTTGCTCTTCTCCACACTCGCATGTCATGGATTCCACTTTGTGGCCCCATTTCCTAAGCTTGGCTCTGCATCTCGTGGTGCCAGAGTAAGTACTTTAGAACCATTTAGAACCGTGGATTGCCCAGGCCTAGTAAATACTGTGTTTTCTGGTGGTCTTTGGCGACTCCTCTGACACCCTTTGGCGACCCCTCTGACACCAGGGGACCCCCAGGTTGAGAAACGATGGTCTACTCACTCTTTCAGTACCGGATTCACACTTTTGTAATCAAAAATACCAAGTTAATGTTTTTAATATTTCTGGCAATTATTTCCCCTGAATCAGTGGCAATGATGATATTTGCTATTAGTTGGTTAGTAGCATGAGGTTGCAGACTGCGGAAGAGGGCCTCCCTTCCCAAACTGAAGCCTGCACTTCCTGCTGATTCTTCATAAATACCCGTTTATGCCGCAACTAAATAATGTGCTTCAGTTCATTCTGGAGGCTCATTAAAGTGATGACAAGGCTGGGAAGCACAAAGTGGAGAGGCTCAACACAGCATGTATTTATAGTGCCGATAAGTTACAAATGGTCATTGGAGAGCCTTCAGAGCACGGTAGATAGAAGTATTATTTATAGGACTGGAGACAGAATCCACCCCCACCCCCTTTTTTGACAATAGGGACCCCCAAAACACAGAAAGACGAATCGAACCAAGTATCCCATCTGGATACAAACAACGGAAACCCATGCAGAAAATGGGACATAAGAAAGATGAAGAGGATACAGGAAAGCTTCTCTGTGTATGTGTATATGTGGCTGGGGTGCCCAAAGTACTCTTCCAGCAGTCACCACCCAATCCCTCTCTAATGCCAGAAATACAGCTTAATGGTGTAACATTAGAAAATGTTGACCATTTCCGAAATACAACACCGCCTGAGCTCTGCGAGTGCAGCATTTTTCCGAATGAAGCAGAGAGTGTTTGAGGACAAGGACATCCGTAGGGAGACCAAGGTGCTTGTTTATAAAGCTATTGTCCTCCCAACCCTGCTGTACACCTGCGAGACATGAACTATCTACAGATGTCAACATTGACACCGAAATACAACACCACCTGAGCTCTGCGAGTGCAGCATTTTTCCGAATGAAGCAGAGAGTGTTTGAGGACCACCACATCCGTATGGAGACCAAGGTGGTTGTTTATAAAGCTATTGTCCTCCCAACCCTACTATATGACTGCGAGACGTGGACTGTCTACAGACATCAACACTGACACCGAAATTCAACACCGCCTGAGCTCTGTGAGTGCCGTTTTTTTCCAAATGAAGCAGAGAGTGTTTGAGGACCAGGACATCCGTAGGGAAACGAAGGTGCTTGTTTATAAAGCTATAGTCTTCCCAACCCTGCTATACGCCTGTGAGACTTGGACTGTCTACAGACGTCACATGCAACTCCTGGAACGATTCCATCAGCGCTGCCTCCGGAAAATCCTGCAAATCTCTTGGGAAGACAAGCGGACAAACGTCAGTGTGCTGGAAGAAGCAAAGACCACCAGCATTGAAGCGATGGTCCTCCGCCATCAACTCCGCTGGATGGTCATGTTGTCCGGATGCCCGACCACCGTCTCCCAAAGCAGTTGCTCTACTCCGAACTCAAGAACGGAAAACGGAGTGTTGGTGGACAGGAGAAGAGATTTAAAGATGGGTTCAAAGCCAACCTTAAAAACTCTGGCATAGACACTGAGAACTGGGAAGTCCTGGCCCTTGAGCGCTCCAGTTGGAGGACAGCTGTGACAAGCAGTGCTGGAGTTTGGGGAAAATAGACCTTGACATTTGGGATTTGTAGTTACTGGGATTTATAGTTCACTGACAGTCAAAGAGCATTCCGAGTCCCACCAACGAAAGAATTGGGCCAAACTTCCCAAATAGAACCCCCACAACCAACAGAAAACATTGTGTTTTCTGATGGTCTTTGGTGACCCCACTAGCACCCCCTTGCGACCCCCCCTCCGGGCTTCCCAACCCCCAGGTTGAGAAACGCTGCTCCAGTGGGAAGCGACCATAAGATCTTAAAACAAAACCCAAACAGAAGCCCGTTTGCCCAACTCTTTCCTTCCTTTTCAGAATCAGCAGATGTAGAGCGACATGGTTGCAATCCTGCACTGAGAACGTCGAAGTGTTAAATATTATTTCTCCAGCGTCGCTTTAAGAACAGTGTATACGCCGACGAGAAAAGGAATGCATGTATTCCGCTGAGGTTTCCTGGAAGCAGCATTAAGCAGAAAAAGCGGAGTGCTCCTCTAAGGAGAGAGACACTTCAGAAATCCTTTGTGTATTACTCTCAAAGTTTAGGGATTTTTCACTCTCCGATTGTTTCAACAGAACATGTGTCCTTAAACACACGCACCACGTTCTTTCCACAGCAGCCTCTCAGGCCTCGTAGCAGAGAGACACGTGCTTGTCTCAACAAAGTGAGTCCCCTTTCTGGTTCCCAATGCCCAAAACACATGGCTTGGAAATGGGGGAAGGCAAGGGTGGACGGGGAAAACCATTTTTGCAAGTTTTAGATCCATTTATTTCGTATATGTCCCACCTTCGTCCCAGTAAGACAGTGTTTCTCAATCTGGGGTTCGGGAGGGGTCGTCATCAGAAAACATATATTTTTGAGGGTCTGAGGAACCCCTTTGGCAGAGAAGGCTGAAGATCTCTCTACCTGTTCGTGGTGCGCATGTGCGGGAGAGTGAAAGCACGCAAGTTTGGAGGGAGGTGTTGCAATCCAGAGCAG